CTGTGGCCGTTTGGTTTTAATTGGAAACTGTCTCTTTAAATTTCAAGGAGATCTGTGTGCGTGCGTTGTAGAACCCTCCGAGGGTGGGGCTGGGGTGCCCAGTAGCTCAAACACCCCTATAATCACCAGGATGGTGGTGCACAGACAACAAGGGGACCAATGAACAGATACCAAAAGAAAAGAATGTCCACACCTTTATCTCAGCGGTTCTGCCAGGCGTCTGTGGCCGCTCCAATCCCACTGGTTGACTTTTGAAAGTGGATTATCAAGCCTTTCTCCCTAGTCCAGTTTAGTCTGGAAGCTCAGCTGAAACCTGTCCAGCATTACAGCAACTTGCAAGCCTCCACTAACAGATGGGTGGAGGCTGAGCATGAGCTGCATGTCTCGGAAGGCGAGAATTCCACATGAGCTGCCTGTGTCCACCTGCAGAAATGCATGTCATGTCCTCAGTCATTAATTTCCACTCAGACCCTGTATAGGGGTTCCAAGGAGTGGCTGGAGGGTTTGAGCTGCCAACCTTGTGGTTCATAGTCCAGTGCTTATCTTACAACACCATACCAGGATTCCCAAAAAGTTCTTAGCACAGATTAAATACAGTACGTCAGGGACCTTCATGACTGACATATGTTTTCATGTATCATAATTATTTCCTGCCAATCTTTCTTCTTTAAACTGAAGTTTTTGCAGTAATGTACGACTTCTATTTTCCTAAACACTTAGTTTTCAAAGACTTTAAAGAAGTGTCTTTGCTCACTTTTTCTACCTGACACATTTATACTTATGTCATTTGAGTCTCAACCTTTGTTTATCAAAGGTGGCTCAATTGTTTGCTTATTTCCTTCAGTTTTAAAAACACTGCTGTGACACAAATACACACAAAACTCAAAACCAAATCTGTTGCCATTGAGTCAGTTTATAGACAGAGTAGAACTGCCCCAAAGGGTTTCCTAAGACTGTAAATTTTAACAGAAGCAGACTTACATCTTTCTTGTAGTGCAGCTAGTAGATTTGAACTGCTGACCTTTTGGCTAGCAGGTGAGACCTTAACCACTGTGACACACAAATACACTCCAAATCTAAAAGGTGACAATTGAAAAACTGAGCAACTACTCTATTATAAACTTCCCAGACTCTGCGGTAGAATCTGATTAAATATATGTCAGATGGCGTTTTATTTCCACTTCCCCAAAGCCAACATTTGAAATGGTTAAAAAGACAAAAACAAGAAACATAGGGGCTTCAAAAAGTTTGTGGCCAAATCCAGATATCCTCTAATTTCACTTTTCACTAGTTTTTTTGAAGTCCCCTTATATATCAGATTTTATTACTCAGTATTTCCATTTTTATTTCTCCTCTTCAAAATAGTTCGAAATTATTTTTATTTTATAGATATTGCAATTTTTTAGTCATAACTTTACTTTGAAATAGTTCAAAGTATTACTTAAAAGTTAAAAAAAATTGTATATGAACACTTACATACCAATTTTTAAAATAAAGATTTATCAATTTTTAACATTTTACACCACATACTATCTATATTTTTTTGGAGAACCATTTGATAATAAGTTGTAGATATCATGAAAGTTCACTGCTAAATACTGTTAATATCCAATTTACAGTGTATTGGAGTTTTACTATAAATCACGAAGGACCAAGTGTGGTTTTGGGGTACATCTCATTGTTAATAATGTATACTGCATGCAATGTTGCAGCATGAAAGTTGCTGATGTTATTGACAGATGTTCAATTTTATGTTTTCCTGCTCACAGTACTTCCATTTCGATTTCGTTTTTTAAACAAAATCAGTAGCTTCCATTGCCTGAAGACATGGACCCAAACACTGATCACTTTTGTAATGTCATTGGACATATTCTGGAAGCAGTGGTATGTTAATGGTGGAATATCCGAGAGAAAGAAAACCCTATAGACAGGTCTCACTAATTTTTGACTAGACACACTATCCCTATTTCCAGGGATAACCCAGAATCTTCCACTGCAGCTAACAAAATGCCTATGGTGTCTAATTCTTCATTGTCAGAGTAAATTTTTGTACTTTTAAAATATATGTATGTATTAAAATGGACTCCTGGTGTGGCATTGTAGGATAAGCACTAATCTACTGACCACGAGGTTGGCCGTTCAAACACACCAGTTGCTCTCCAGAAACCCTGTGCAGGGTTGCTATGAGTTAGAATTGGCATAATAATAATAATAATAATAATGACACTATATTAAAATATATCTTTTAAGTTTATAAGTAGTATTTTTAACCTCCCCCCAATATTTATAAAGACACTGATAATAAAAGGCCACAACAATAAAAACAGCAACAGTAACAAAAAACCCAAGAGATATTTGAGTTAATTCCGAACTGGTTTATGGTGGATGAAATCTTTGGCACAGAACCCTTTATAAGTCAGTAACTACCTGTACTTCAACACACATCTAAGAATTTTTACGTTTTCCTAAGTATCTGTTACCATGTTCCAAGCCCCTAAATGTAATTTAAGCATATTTTATATGCAGTTTATAATCATACTACTAAAGTTATCCTAAAAGTATTTATTTACATTTAGACTTTGTCTCTTTTAGTGTCCTAATTTATAGCAGGATCCCCACCCCCTGCCATCCTCAGTTGTCTCCTTTGTCTGTTTGTTAATACCATAGTCTTTTTCTTGTCCAGGTTAGTGACTTATAGACTGTCCCATGTTCTTACTGTGTCTGAATGTTTTCTCATGAATAGATTCAGCTTAAGTAGTATATGGTAAGGATACTGCGGCCGCGAAGCTGGGTGTTTCTTACAGCAGCACAGCAGGTGGCAAGTCATATCAGTTTGTTCTACCATCCGTAATGCTAGGTTTAAGCACTTGGTAAAAAATATGTAGACAGAGTAAGAATGTTGGATATCTTTGGTGTGAAGGTATATTTTTCTTTTATAATTAATAAGTAATCGATTGGATGATTCTTCGAGAGACTTTGAATCTCTTGTTCTCACACAAGTTTCACCCAATGATTTTAGCACCCGTTGAATCATTTATACATTTATGGTTATAAAATGATAGTTTTAAATTCTGCCATTTCTTTCATGTTTATTGATTGGAATTTCACAGTCCTTATAACTTTGACCTCTGATAAAAATGAATTTAAAGTTTAAATCAGAGTTTTTGTATCGGTGCTTGTGGGTTGTTCATAACCCTGTCACTTAGATTTTGGATAGTAGTTCTTAACTGTTCTTTCCAATGGACTAGGCTACTTGCATCCTCTTCTCTTAGCACTCTTAATTGTGATTACTGGAATGAATAATATTTATGGAATATATGTATTTATGGAGTACCTTAGAAAGGGAGAAGTGTATACAACCTTGAGACAGTGGAATAAACTTTTAAATGACCAATTTGAACTGGAAATAGAACTAATAGTTACGGATAAATCAGTTAATTCAGATAGGGAAAACTAATGATCAAATAGCTATTGTTTGTAAACATTCATCTAATTTTACTGTGCCATGAAGTATATTTCACTTTTCCTTGAGACCAGGTGGTAGTCATTGGCAGAACTTAAGCCAAATATAATATGTTAACCTAGTTGTAGTTCTGATTGAGGGGGTTTGAATATTTGTGATATATGAAATATAATGTCTGAAGAGAAACAATGAAATAAAGTTCACTATTAATATTTTTTTATGTCTAATGTGGGAAAGGTTGGGTAGGTTAGATCACAAACATCCATATGACAGAAAAGCTAGAGATTCTTTATTGAGGTAGAACCTGCCAGGTTTAAAATTTAAAATACCTTTCCCCTGGGTAGTCATTAGCATTTATGAATTATGATAGTTCATTTGTCATTTATAAGGTAGTTGTAATTTCCAAACACTTAACAATAATGACATTACTTTTTACTTTAGACTATCCCCATAAATATGGTCCTCAAGGGGGCTGTGCTGATCATTCAGTATTTGAAAGGATGAGGAAATACCAGTTGACAGGTGTAGAGGAAGCGACACAGGTAAGTATTTTAATGTTGGATTATATTTAAGAAATGGAAATGCATTTGAGTATGCATCTCTGCATTAAAAATAAAAAAAATATATGTTCTAGATTTTCTGAAAGATTTGTGCCACTTTAGGAAAAAATATATTTTTAGTTGTTAATGATGCCTTTAATTATAATAAAGAAGATAGTGCTGAGAATTGAATTCAGATCTGCATGTTTCAAAAAGTATTAATTGTATGTCCTATAAGTATGCTGCCTTATATGTTTTATCATAAAAGGAAAATTTTCAATCTTAACTTGTGTTTTATACTGATGTATATTTATATTAGTATAAATTAGGGTTATCAGCTGGCTCTGGGTTGCTCAACTTCCCCAGTTTAACACTGACTGTCCTGTGTCCCTGGGCCAACTAGAATGGTGGTTAGTCACCTTAATAAAAAATCACAACACTTTTGATATATTCACTACAATTTTTTTTTTCTTTTACCATTTGACTATTGTTCTCTTAATTTGTTTTTTGCCGCCTCTTTCTTCAGTCATAAGTGACAGGATTATAGCATACAAAATACAAGTTCAAATAAAATAATTTGTTTTATGATAAAGCATTTATCACCTAAGAGTATTTTGGACTCCTTCCCAAATGTTGTTGTTGTTAGTGCTGTCGAGTCTTTCCGACTGACTGCGACCCTTTATAGAGTTTCCAAGGAGCAGCTGGTGGATTTGAACTGCCTACCTTGTGTTCCAAAGGAGCTCTGGTAGTGTAGTGGTTACGAATCGGGCTGTGAACCTTAAGGTCAGCAGTTGGAAACTGCCAGTTGATCCATGGGAGAAAGATGAAGCTTTCTGCTCCCATAAAGATTTACAGCCTTGGAAACCCTGTACAGGGTCGCTATGTTATATGGGTCAGAACCGACTCGACGACACGTAAAACAACAACAACAACAAACCTTGTGTTACAAATGGAACTTGAGGTCCAACGCTTATCCTAGAGTACCACACCAGGACTCTTTCCAAATGTAGTGGGGTGTAGTAATATTTTTGAGTCATATAAATTTGTAGTTAAATTTGTTTCTCGATCTTCAAGATGACATAAATCTATTTCAGGTGATTCTTTTGAGTATTCAGTGAGATTTTATTCTTGCATTCATTGAACAGATATTTATTGATCTTTTGCCATCTGTCAGAGATTCTGGCAGGGTCTGGGCAAACTGAGGTTGAGGGTGAAAGCTTGTTCTCTGAAAGCTTACAATTTAATTGGAGACAAAAATCAACAATACTGAAAAGAAAGAGATATAAAAGGATTGATTACAGGGTTATATTCTGTGTAGGGGGCTCTGGTAGCTTAGTGGTTACGAATTGGGCTGCTAACCTCAAGGTTGGCAGTTTGAAACTACCAGTGGCTCTGCGGGAGAAAGATGAGGCGTTCTGCTCCCATAAAGATTTACAGCCTTGGAAACCCTGTGCAGGGTCACTGAGTCGGAATCGACTCCACGGTACTTAACAACAACAACAACAACATTCTGTGTAGAAGATGAATGGCTCACCTCACCTTGGTATTATTTGAGGACAGCAATCAAAATCTAAAAGAACAAGAAGGAGTTAGGTTGGCTGAGAGAAGGTGGAAAGAATATTCCAAGCAGGAGAAACAGTTCAGATGAAGTCCAGAGAAAGAGAGTACTACTTAGAGATGGGGCTGGGCTGTGACTGGAGACTGTCAGGCCAATTAGAAGTTGTTGCAGTTATGCACCTGAGAAGTGATAGTGGCAATGTGGGTGGATAGCGGGAACAAGGCTACAAGTTGCTAGATATAATAAGAGTGTTTAGTTAGGGTATCTAGATGCAACAGTGTGCAAAAGTAGGTAGCAAACTACCCGAAATGTAATGAAAAAGAGCACAGTGAATTGTAGCTAAATACTGAGCTGTGTATGCATAGGGGGTAAGATTCTCAAAACACACCACCACAAAACAAAAAGCTACCAGAGAAAGGAAAACTGCTAGCAAGTCAATGAACTGAATAACTTACTGGAAATTATACTTGGTAGAGACCCCATGCCATACAAGGAGTAGGGCTTTCTGAGCCTGGGAATAAAGGTTACTCCACACCTGCCCTGAATAAGCTGGAAAACCAAGTGTCAATATAATTTTCGAGTAATTTGGCTGCCTGTCAGAACAAAGCTTCATACCTGTTTTTAAAAGAAGGACAGTCCCATACCTCAGTTTTCAGCCAAACAGTGGCTAGGTCTATAAGGGTAACAGTAAAACTAGGGGAAGTACACACAACTTAGAATAATCAACCACTTGAGATCAAAAGAGTAGCATTTACCCTCCACCCCCCAATTTCAGAGAGTTAGAAGGGGGTGGGTGAGGAATGGAAACAGGCAAAGATAGGGAGGAAGTGGGGTAAATGAGGTTACATTGTGGGGAGTGCAATCACTGAGGTGAAACAAAATGTACATGAATTGTTGAATGGAAAACAGATTTGTTCTGTAAGCCTTCCTATTTCACAGTAAAAACTGTAAATAAAGAAAAAAGGAGGACATAAAGTCTAGATACTCAACAATGTAATAGTCACAATGTCCAACATTCAGAAAACATTATTGGATGATAAGTTGAAAAAAGTGATCTATGATCAGGAGAAAAATCATACAGTAGAAACAAAACTGGAAAGTTTAAGCATTAGTAGACAAAGACTTTAAAATGGCTACTATTAATGTGTTTTAGGAATGAAAAAAAAAGATTAATACAGAGATGATAGAATTAATAAGGAAGAACCAAATGAAACTTATAATAATGAAAAGTTGTTGTTGTTGTTGTTATGTGCCGTCGAATCGGTTCCGACCCATAGCGACCCTGTATAGGGTTTCCGAGGGTGTAAATCTTTACGGGAGTAGAAAGCCTCATCTTTCTCCCGCGGAGCAGCTGGTAGTTTCGAACCGCTGACCTTAAGGTTCGCAGCCCGATTCGTAACCACTACGCTACCAGAGCTCCTTATAATAATGAAAAGTATGTTATCTAAATTGAAAAATTCACTGGATGGGCTTAAGAACAAATTAGTCACTATAAAAGCATGAGTAAATATAATGAAAGGACAATAAAATAAAGGAAATTATCCAGATTAAAACCCAGACAAAAAAATAATTGGATTCCAGGGGGAAGGAGATGCAGAAAAATACTTGAAAAATAGTATCCTCCCTATCAAGTTTTCAGATAGGAAGAAAAACTCATTTGTGGCCTAAGAAGCTCAGTGAGACCCAAATAGGATAAACACAAAGAAAAACTTAGTAAGGCATATAATCAAATTATTGGAAAAAGAGAAAATCATAAAAACCAATAGGAAACAGAAGAGAATTTACCAGGGCAACAAAGATAAGAATAACTGCTGACTCTCATCATAAAATGCAAACCAGAGACATACAGATTGACAATTTAAAAGTTTTGCGCAAATCTGTAATCTTAGAATTTTATATTTTGTAAAAATAATTTTCAAAACTGAGGGCAAATTGAAGACCTTTTGTAGACAGAAGTTGAGAAAATTTGTCACTAGGTGATTTACAATGCAAAAAATATTAAAAGTTCTTCATATAGAAGAAAAGGGATATAGCTGGAATTTCAAATACATACAAAGGAATGGTGGTGGTTGTGTGCTGTTGAGTTGCTTCTGACTCATAGTGACCCTGCATAGGCTTTCTGAGGCTGTAAGTCTCTATGGGAGCAGAAAGCCTCATCTTTCTCCCAAGGAGCAACTGGTAGATTCGAAGTGTTGACCTTGTTGTTAGCAATCCAACTTGTAATCTACTATTCTACTCAGGCTCCTTACAAAGGAGAACCTAAAATAGTGAAAATGCAGTAAATACAAAGGGCCAGATTTCCACTATATGACTTACTTAAGGTGTAATTACTTAAGTCAGCATTAATAAAAATGTACAGTATAGTACTTAGTGTATACAAAGAAGCAAAAGCATCAAAAAACAAAGGCCAAAATCAAGCAGAATGAAGGTTTATTATTTTAAGTTTCTTGTACATTGAATGCTATCATTTGAACAGGTAGATGCCAATGCACAAATTATGTTTATTTTTTAAAACCTTAAGCAAACTTTGACTTGTGGATCAGTTGCCTGCATTTAAATAAAGTTTTATTGGAACATAACCATGCCCATTTATTTAATACATTCTGTCTGCCTTCATGCTCAGAATTGAGTGATTGCAGAAGAGATCATGTGGCCTACGAAGCCTAAATATTTTCTTGTGAGTCCTTTAAGAAAAAGGTTGTAGGAATGCCTCCTACTTTTGAAATACCACTGGAAAAAGTAAAAGAAGTATAGTTAGCAGGCCAGTAAAGGAAATAAAATATAATTAAAAATACTTAGCTAATCCAAAAGAAGTGAGGGAAAGAAAAAGAAAAGGAGCAAGGAACAGATGGGACAAATAGAAAATAAATGTTAAGATGTTAGGATTGTAACTAACCATATTATTGATTATGTTAAATGTAAATGGACTAAACATCGTAATTAAAAAACTGAGATGGCCAGAATAGTTAAGCACAATTTTGCTTAAAAGAAATGGAATTTAAATGTAAAGACAGACACAGGGTAAAAACAAAAGGATGACATACCTTAAAAACCATAATCATAAGAATATTGGAGTGATGAAAATATTTCAACTCATGAAATATTATCAGAGATAAACAGGTACATTTCATAATGATAAAACTGTCACTTCATCAAGGAGAAATAACAATCCTAGCTGCTAGTTTATCATGCAGTAAAAATAATAGAACTATAGTTACCTGAAACAAAAAGACAGAACTGAAAGGAGAAAATGGAAAAATAGAAAAGTCTACAAATTTAATGTGGAAATTTACATTCATTTCTGAGTAACTGTTAGAGTGAATAGACAGAAAATAGGACACGTAAACATTATCAGTCAACTTTACCTAATTGATATTTATAGAACATTCAGTGATAGCACGTTCTTTTCAAATACGCATGGATCATTGTCAACATATAGTTCTTAAGTCAAGTGTCAATAAATAGAAAAAGATTGAAATAAAAAAATTAAGTTCTTAGGTCCCCAAGAAAATTAAATTTGAAATCAGTAACAAAAAATCTGATTTTTTTTTGTTACTGATTTCAAATTTAACCCCCAAATATTCAGAAATTAAATAGCACACTGCTGAATTATACAATTAAAAGCCATTTTAAAATCAGAACATAATAAGATTTGTGAGATTCAGCTAATGCAGTGCTTTAGAGGAAAATTTGAAGTCCTTTGTGGTTTTTTTAGAAAAAGAATGATCTAGAAATCAATAATGTAATCATCTACATTTAAAAAGCTAGACAGTGCCATTAACTCTATTCTGACTCATAGCAACTGTATAGGACAGAGTGGAACATCTCCATAGGGTTTCTGAGGCTGTATAATTTTCCTGGTTTAGCATTGTAAGATCACCACTAGACTGAACTGCAGGGTCAGAGGTTCAAACACATCAGCTGCTCCTTAGAAACTCTACAGGGTTGCTATGAATTGGTATTGACTCCATGGTACTTAACAACAGCATGATTATTAATGGGAGCAGAAAGCCTCATTTTTCTTGCACAGAGTGGCTGGTGGGTTTGAACTGCTGATTTTGAGGGTAGCTGTCCAGTGCAGAATCCACTGTGATGGAGAAGTAGACTACATACCCTGACCATGTAGAAGAAATAAAGCAGTATGATACATATCAGTGAAAAACAGAGAAAATAAATAACAAATGTAATTGATAATTTGTAGTTAATCTGATTAAGAACTAAAGAGAAAACAAACAATTTAGCAATATTGGGAATGAAAATGGAGGATATTAATACTTTAAGTGAATATCTTGAGCACCTTAAGGCAACGAATTCAGCAATATACCTACCAACTCCTCACTCCTTGACTATTTTATTTAACATTTCATATGTATTACAATGGTAAAACTATTATTTGATTATTTTGCACATGCATATGTCAGTAATGAGTGCTGAGGTCCTAGGTGAGAGTAATGCTAGCTGTGATGGTTAAGCTTTTGTGCCATTTTGGCAGGACCTGGAGCCTCAGTGGTTTGGCAATTACGTAATGTTGTAATTTGGCAGTTATGTAATTTTGTAGTCTTCCGTTACTTTATAATCTGATCTGGTCCTCATTCATTTTCACATAGTGATTATTTTCGCATAACTCTCAGGTTTTTGAAATCTGACTTAATGGCAATAAATGAGGAGTGGTGGTGGTGGTTGTGTGCCACCAATTTGGTTCCGAATCAGCAACCCTGTGTAACAGTTCCAAGATTGTAAATCTTTATGGGAGCAGAAAGCCTCATCTTTCTCCCATGGAGTGACTAGAAGATTTGAACATCTGACCTTACAGTTAGCAGCCCAATTCGTAAACCCACCATCCTACCAAGTCTCCTTAAATGAGGAGTTGTTGTTGTTGTTAAGTGTCGTCAAGTCGGTTCCAACCCAAAGCGACCCTGTACAGGGTTTCCAAAGAGCGACTGGTGAACTTGAACCACCACTGACCTTGTGGCTCAAACAAACTTTGCAGTCCAGCTCATTAACCCACAGCGCCACCAAGACTCCTAAATGATAGAGTAGATATCAAGGACAACTTCTAAGTCTAGGTATAGCTTCACAGTTTAATTATATCCAACATGTAAGACCATAATACCAATCTTACACAAAATTCTTAAGAAGTCTTAGTACATTTTATGAGACCATCAGTACCTTGATTACAGAATGTGAAATAAAGGACATAGTATTACCCTAAGTAAGGTGGCTTTTGTCCTTGGTTCCTGAAAAATCATCTTTGGGGTAATTGGGCTGCCTTCGTTTGGGTCTTCCAGGCCACACCTGAGGATTTGTGCTGGCATGTGGGACTGGCCAGATCATAAAGACTCACTTAGGAGACTGATACCAACTAGCCTCAGGAGGCCTGATTATAAGGGTATCATACAGACTGACCAATAAAAGCTGGAAACACTAAGGCATAGAGAGCTTCCTGGTATCTAAGACATGGCAGCTCTACATTGGGAATCTTCCCAGACCTTGTCTGCCTGTCTCTTCCTTTTGACATGTTATACTTGTAGTAAAAGGTATGTTTTGAAAATGTTTAAAAGTAATTACCTATACAGTAAGAATATTATAAGAGTGAAATTAATGATATTTATGAAAATTTTTAATAATATGGGGAAATTTCTGTGGTTTTAATGGAATAAGGCAAAATAAATTTGTATAATGTGTATTCTAAGCTACATAAATTTTAATAATCTTTTTTGACCTCTAGAAACCTGAAGAAGAACATGCTATCAATGGGCCAGAACTCCTGAGGAAAAAACGTACAACATCAGCTGAAAGAAATACTTGCCAACTTTTTATTCAGACTGATCATCTGTTCTTTAAATATTATGGAACACGGGAAGCTGTGATTGCTCAGGTATTTGTAATTTTGCTCTTATTTTAGTTTTTATGCTCTCATATTGTTTAACTATATTCATAATTTTTCCTAAAAATCAAAGTTAGTGCCTGTCTTTTGGGGGTTGGATTGTTTGCCTTCTAATTTCAGCTGCAACCCACTAATAGGGAGCCCTGGTGGTCCAGTGGTGAAGTCCTCTGATGCTACCTGAAAAGCCATTGGTTTGAACCTACCAGTGTGAGGTTCCTTGGGAGAAAAGACTTGGTGAGCTGCTCCCATAAAGAAAGATTATTGCCTAAGAAACCCTATGGGGGAGTTCAACTCCATCCTGTAAAGTCGCTATGAGTTACAGTTGACTTGACGGTGCTCAACAAGAAGCTTGTTAAGGGTCTTCTCTTTCGTGTTCACAACTGTATTCCCAGATGACTAAGAAAATAGTTTTTGTGACTGGAGCAAGGGTGTGTTTGTTCAGAGATAGATTGGAAAAGGCATAAAGTCTTTCACCTCACCACAATTTACTAATATTTTTCATTAGTATATAGTAGTGGTGGTGGTAAGTGCTGTCGGGTCGGTTCTGCACTCATAGCAGCCCGTATAAGGAAGGGAGCTGAAAGCCTAATCTTTCTCCTGTGGTGTGGCTGTTGGGCTTAAACCACAGACCTTGAGGTTCACAGTCCAGTGCTTATCATACGGAGCCACTGTGTTCCTCTAGTACATGGTGGTGGTGGTGGTGTTAAGTGCCATTGAGTCAGTTCCATGTCCTAGTAACACTGTTTAGGGTTTAGGAGGAGCAATTGTTGGGTTTGAACCACTACCTTGTGGTTCAAACCTACCTTGTGGTCCAGTGCTTATCCTTCAGTGCTATAGCAGGACTCAAGTACATGTTGTAGACAATTTTAAAATTTGAATGTGGCAGAATATGACTAATTCCTGATTTGTTAGATGGAAATTTACAATCTTACTTGCATTTCAACATTGCCTCTATAAACTTTTCTTTTCTTTTTAAAATCAATAGATATCCAGTCATGTAAAAGCGATTGATACCATTTACCAGACTACAGACTTCTCTGGAATCCGTAACATCAAATTCATGGTGAAACGAATAAGAGTAAGGAATTTTGATAGTTAACTAGAGTATTAAAGAAGAAAAACAATAATGACAATGTTTGCAAGAAGAAACAAACTTGCTTTTTCCTTTCTTCTTTATGCATGAAATCATGTAAATGAAAAATTAAATGAAGTTTTCACTATATATAATTGATACGAATCTGAATTTTTATTACCTAGTTGTAAATAATTACCCTTTTATAAGAGGGTTTTAAATTTATGCTTTTCTATTTTTCTTACAATATGATTGACTAGATTAAAAAAATTGTATAAGAGTATTTTAACATATACATACTCATATATTGTTATGTGCTGTGGAGTCGGTTCCGACTCATAGCAACCCTGTACAGGGTTTCCGAGGCTGTGAATCTCTACGGGAGCAGAAAGCCTCATCTTTCTCCCTTGGAGCAGCTGGTAGTTTCGAACTGCTGGCCTTGCGGTTCGCAGGCCGATTCATAACCACTACGCTACCAGAGCTCATATATATATATATAGTGTTTAATAATAAAACTATCTACCAGCCGTTCCGCGGGAGAGAGATGAGGCTTTATACTCCCGTAAGGATTTACACCCTCGGAAACCCTGTACAGGGTCGCTATGGGTCGGAACCGACTCGATGGCACTTACCAATAACAACAACAATAATAAAACTATAGGTGGTCCTTACTTGTAAGAAGTATTGCGATTATTTGAAAAAAGCTTTTCTTGTGAACTGAGTCAAGGTTTACAGACAAGATCATCAATTTTACATTCAACAAAGTATGTAATTTGTTTCATCTCAGTGATTGCAACTCACCTCTCTATAACAACAGTTATTTCACTTCCTCCCTGTGGTTCATATTTCCATTCCACCCTCCTTTCTGAACTTTGTTCTTTGATAAATACTGCCTTTTTGATTTTTTGAATGATTGACTGTTTCATGGTGAGCATACTTTTATACCTATCTACTGCTTGACTGAAAGTTGAGCCCCAAGGGTAAGTTTCATTCTAGACCTGAAGGGTGGTTGAGGGTGGGTAATAGTCTTTGGATTCTTCCAGTCTCCTGACCAATAAACCCTGTCTTTTTTTTTTTTTCAATAATTTTGAATTTTGTTCCATATTTTCTGCCATTATCTCTGGGACCTTTTGATATTAACCCTTTTAGAGCAGTTGGCAGTGGTAACCTGGCACCACCTAATTCTTCTTGTCTTAGTCATGGTGACTGATGTTCACCTGCTCCATTGGGTCCATTGGATAGTTGATTCCAAGCATCTTCAGTTTTCATCACTCTTCTTTCTTCCACACATGGGCAGAACAATAGTTGCACCTTAAATGGCCTGTCAGGAGCCTTTAAGATCCCAGACGATACTCACCAAAGTAGAGTGTAGATTTGGGGACTATGTTATGCCAGTTGACTGTGGTATCCTCTGAAATATGGTCCTGAGCTCCCAGGCCCAGCAACTTAGTATGATTAATCTTAAATTGGACTGTGTTAAGGTAAAATATGGTTTATACAATATAAGAGATTTTCATAATCAATGGCTTTCATGTGTTTTGAGACTACAAACTTAAATGAGACAGATCTAAAATGGGAACAGATCTAAAAATGCTAGTGAGGTATGCACACCTTAGGGTAATCAACCACTTAAGATTAAAAGGGCAGCCTGTACTCAATGACAGAGTCCAGAAGGGTTAGGGAAAAAAGAGAAATAGAAATAGGAAATTCAGGAAGGAGAAGGGCGTAAGTGATGTTACCTTGTGGGAATTGTAATCAATGAGATGAAACAAAATTTGTATGAATTGTTGAACGAGAAATTGATCTGCTCTATAAACCTTCATCCAATTCACAATAAAAAGTTAAAAATTAAAACAGGTAAAAATAATAAGTGACATAAATATTGCTATTTAATAGGCAGAGCAGTAAAATGCCAAGTAATGAAAAGTAAAGAACATTTGAACAAATTTTAGTGAAACACTTTTTTTTAAAGCAAAATGAATTCTGTTTTGGATCATTCATTACAGATGATTTAATGGCACTGGCTTGTTTCAGACCTATAACTGAAATAAAACTACTCTTTCCTGAAGATTGCTCATGATTCACTGAATATTTATATTGTGTCAGCAAGTATGTAAATATTTATTATCCCATTTAAAAATAAAATTTAGATAGAATTTTCATTATGCATCTAAATTTCAATTTTCAATCATGCCAGTATTACAGAAAAGTCATGGAATTCAGTTTCTGTATTTAGTGGGAGAAAGCCATCTGCAGTATGACTCTAAGCATGGGCTATCAATACTGTTAAATTACCATACTTGATTGCTGTTCTGAGATCTCTCCTTAGGTATTTGCCCTGATGCTTCACTATTGTTTTCACCAACCTGCTTCTGAGTCCTTTTTTGTTTTTACTGGAGGGTAACATTTCTTTTCATGCATATCTGTTTTATTATTTACCAGAAATCTTGTATATAATTCCCTGTCTTACCTGTGGAAAGCAAAATTATTCTAGGGTTTCAAAGGATGTCCGGGGGTCTTTGAAAGGAGACAGCGTGTAATAACGTAAAACTTTTGTCTAGTAGAAAGAAACTGTTCTTCAGATTATAAAGGATGAACTTGCCCTGGAATATAGTAGAAGAAAAATTCTGGAGGAACTCAGCTTGAAATAGTAAGAGAAGTGAATTGGCAGTAGAAAGAAAATCAAATTCTTGCCCCCACTCAGGAGGAAAAAAATTGAACTTGTAGTTACTTGGGCTTGCCTCACTCATGTAACCAGACAAAAGCAAGGGAAACCAAGAAAATGACTTGTCTGCTGAAATGGTAATCTTAATGTTGATTCTTTTTTAATATGTTCTAGTTAAATGAGTCTACGGTACTTAACAACAACAAGTAATTAACTAAACGGAATGGTTTTATGTCTTTCTCATCAACATTTATAGGAGATTATCATTGAAGAGACTTTGTTAGCGGGTTTGAAAGGAAAACTTTTTCTTTCTTCCCAAGTGTTTAGGAATCTTGTGAATACTCTCCCAGAAGTTTAGTTATCTTCAATCTGAATCTTCCCACCCTGTTTTTTTTCTTTTAGGTTCTATTATTTAGGTTAGGGCTGAGCACAGTGGGACCAACCCTTAGAAGCCTTATTTCCGGCCTGATTTCCCTTGGACCATGAGAAAGCACATTGTTAGTTGAATGCAGATGCAGGAAAACAGACTTCCTCTAAGGGTCTCCTGATATTAATTGTTTTAATTATTGTTTTGGATTTTAGATCAATACAACTGCTGATGAGAAGGACTCTACAAACCCTTTCAGATTCCCAAATATTGGTGTGGAGAAGTTTTTGGAATTGAATTCTGAGCAGAATCATGATGACTACTGTTTGGCCTATGTCTTCACAGACCGAGATTTTGATGATGGCGTTCTTGGTCTGGCTTGGGTTGGAGCACCTTCAGGTAGTTTATCTCTAACCACGTTTTAGCTTAATACTTAAAACCCAAAGCAATTTTCAGGGCAGATTGAATTGTACAAAGTATAGAAGAGCTAGGCAAGATTTTAAGCATAATGTAAATAAAATAAAGGAAGCAGCTTTTCCTTTTGAAATCAGTGAAGACTGTTCTGATTATCTGCTTCTGAAAGGTCATGGCCTTGAAAACCCTGTGAAAAAGTTCTGTTCTGCACTCATGGGGTTGCTATGAGTACATATTGATTCAATGGCAACTAACAGGGATTCTCTGATATTAACTACTTCAGTAGATGAAATAAACAATCTTATGGGGGGAATGAATGATCTTTATTCCTGAAACCCAAAGCAGCACTTAATAGTTTTAATGAAAGTTATGAAATATTCATTCAAAATAGGGAAGCTGTAGAGTCAAAAGGGGAAAACTATGATCATAGTTTCATAGTGAAATAAGAGCAGAGATACCCTCGTCATGAGCAGCAGGTAAAGAAGGAAAGAAAGCCCACCAATTTCCAACCTTTATTTTTACAGAAGGGAGGGAGTGTAGCTGAGAAGAGATACAGGCAGGAAACCTCAGCTCCCACAAGGCCATGCTCTGTTGGAGTTTTTTCTTTAGGTATGAGAGCTACTGTGAATGAAAGAGTTGAGATAGGATAATCCCCTGTCATTATAAGGGTTATGGGTAGGTTGTAAATGATTTTACAGTATGATAAATTCAGTCTTTTGGAGAAATATAATTTACTAATTGAAAAAGCAAGGAAATGAGAAAATCAGTGTCTGTCGAGGCAGTTCTGACTAATGGTGACTCCGTGTACTGTACATTAGAGCTGTGCTCCACAGGCCTGTGCTCCGTAGGGCTGTGCTTGACAGAGAGTGTGACCTTTTTGAAGCAGATTGCCAGGCCTTTCTTCCGAGATGCCTCTGAGTGGGTTTGAGTCCCCAACTTTTGATTGATAGTTCAATGCTTAACTGTCTGTGCTACCCAGAGACCCCTGTTATTTGAAAGAGGAGTGGAAAGAATTCCTAAGCTCTGAGTATTATTTTGCCACATGTTGTTGTTTGTTCTGACTCATAGCAACCCTCCCTGCCTAGGGTTTCCAAGGAGCAGCTGGTGGGTTTGAACTGCTAACCTTGTGGTTCGTAGTCCAGTGCTGATCCTACAGTGCCACACCAGGAGTCCATTTTATCATACATTGTTGTTGTTAAGTGCCATTGAGTCAGTTCTGACCCATAGTGTCCCTGTATAGGGTTTCAAAGTAGCAGCTGGTGAGCTTGAGCTCCTTACCTTGAGGTTCAAACAGACTTTGCAGTCCAGCACATTAACACAGTGCCACACCAGAACTCCATCGATTAATAGTTTGTCATTTTCTGAGATACGTATAATTTTCTCTTCTTCTGATGCTTTGTGTCTGTGTTTTTTTTTAAAGACAGGTTGACAAGCTTTTTCTATTCTTGCTAGTTTGTTCTTTGATTTGTTTTGCATCTTTTAGGATCCTAAGTAGTACTCTATTTTATTTGGTACTTTCTTGCTCTCTTTAAAACCAACAGTGAGCATCGTTTCTGCAATTTCCAAAGCTGCCTTTGTTTTTCATTCCATGTTTTGATGTGTGCTCTATGTCATGATGTCATTAAGATGCAAGTTTATGCCTCGAGCTGTGCATCAGAGCACAGCAGTTTTGGAGATTTGTCCATTTTGATTAGCCTTGCTGTTTTTGTTTCACTTGTAAGCAAATTGTACAGCTCACTCTTTGCTGTGGCATTTCACACACTTTATAACTTGTACCCTAAAATATTATTTTTCCTGTTTGAGCAGCTGAATGATTTTATCACCAAGGTTGTGATTCCTTCTTCCTATTAATTAGTCAGTACTGAACTTCATTTGATTTTTCTTGTTATTATATCTATTTACATAGTGGTCCACAGGCTGTCAGCATCAGTGCCTCATGGGAACTTATTAGAAATGTCTGTGGAATCAACTCTAGAGAATGGGATGCAACAATTTTTTATTGAACATACCCTCCCATACAAAGCTTAAGAATAAACCTATTAGTATTTTGGGCTGTAAAGGCGCTTGCTTACCAAATGTCTCTTACAAGCGATTGTATGATCTCAAACTAGAAACTTCCTGTCGTTTTGTATTGACTATTAATTATTAAGAATGTAGTGTTACATTAGTATGGCATATTTGTCACAATTAATGAACCAATACTGATACATTGTCATGAACTAGAGTCCATATTTTATTCAGAATCTTTTGTTGGTTTTAGCTAATTCTTTCTGTTCCACGATCTCATCCAAGATATACCCTGTTAGGTTTATTTATCGTGTTTTCTTAGTTACCTCTTCTCTGTGACCGTTTCTCATAGTGTCTTTTTTTTTTTTTTTAACTTATTAATTGAATGTAAGTTTATAGAGCAGATCATCAATATTACATTCAATAAATCATATATTTTGCTTCATTAAAATGATTGCAATTCCTTCTATGTAAAAATAACAGTTTTTACCTCTATTCCCTTTAACTCTTGCATTCCTTCTTGTGTCGCCCGCTACCTTCATCTTCCCTCTGTTAACCTCTCTCTTGTACATTGCCTGCAAAGACATCCATGTTAACATGTGAGGAGTCTTGTGCGCTGTAGGATAAAGCAATGGACTTCAAGGTCAATTTGTAAAAAACTTCAAGGTCAGCAGTTCAAACTCACCAGATGCTCCTCAGAAACCCTGTACTGGGTTACTATAAGTTGGAATTGACTTGACAGTACTTAACAACTGCAATAATAGCACTGTCTAGCCCATGAATAATTTTCACATCTTCCCCACCCCATCAAAGAATGTTTCTTTTACCAAGAAAACCTTTTCTTAACTTTTTACAACAGTGGTCTCTTACAATATTTGTCCTTTTGTGATTAATTTTGTTCAGCATAATAACCTCCAAACTCAACTATGTTGTAAGATGTTTTGCGTTCTTTTGTATTCTTCAACATTGCATTGTATTCTATTGTGTCTATGTACCAAAATGTAACCATTCTTCTTTTGATGGGCGTTTAGTCTGTCTCCCTCTTTTTGCTATTGTGAATATACAACAATGAACATGGGTGTGCATAAAACTATTCGCTTCACAGATCATATTTCTTGAGGATTGCTGCTGGGCTATAGGATATTTCTGTTTCTAACTTTTTGAGAAAATGCCTTACTGTTGTACCATTTTACAGTCCCACCAATGGTGTAGGGAGGGTCCCAGTCTCTCTACACCCTTCTCCAGCACTTGTTTTCTG